GCACAGTGGTTCTCAAAGTGTAGCATGCAGCAGAATCAACCCAGGCCACTGGGCCTGCCCCCAGAACCCCTGATTCCATTTGGGGTAGCGTCCCCCAAATTTGCTTCTCCAGCAGTTCCTCAAGTGATGCTTCTGGTGCTGGTCTTGGCATGACTTTTGAGAGTCTTGTCTAGAGAAAGGGTTTGCTAAAAATGAATGACTCCAGTGGGAAGGAGTCACAGGAAGTGTTTTGCTTGTTGTTTGGTTTGATTGTTTTTTGTTTTGTTTTTTGTATTTTTGCTTTTGGGTCATAGCTGGCGATGCACAGGGGTTACTTCTGGCTATGCACTCAAGAATTACTCCTGGTGGTTCTCAGGGGACCATATGGGATGCTGGGAATCGAATCTGGGTCGGAAGCGGGCAAGGCAAATGCCCTACCTCCTGTGCTATTGCTCCAGCCCCGGTTTGATTGGTTTTATGGACTATTGATATGAGGTTAACACGAATAGTGGATCAGCTTCTACATGCTGACCCTCCTCCATCTCCTGGCTTTCCCATAAAATGTTTCTGAGTTCACTCCCCAGCTGTTTTGTGAATATATTTTGAAGGTGTATTGTATGCCTGGTAACATATAAAGTGGGGTTGTTAATAAGAGAGAGAATGTTTATGAAACTCATTCAGAGAAGTTGCTCTCTTACCGCTAGTACGTGTGAACTACTATGTGTGAACATTGTGATAATTCAGGGAGTCATAAGAAGAAATGCCTACTTGAATGAGCAGTGAGTTCCCTATCAGTGGACTTGTCCAATATAGGCTGCTACAATAGTAATGGGAATAAAACAATTGTACAATTAGGTCAAATGCCGATTAAGATCCTATAAACTTTATGATTAAGGCAGACAATGGGTGGTAATTGACAGAAAATGACACCAATGAAATGCAGCGTTTAGGGGTAAACTGGCAAAGGAAGATAAGGTTGTAAGTAGGATCAATCTGCTTTGTTTTGGTTTGTATTTTGGTTGGAGGAATACATGGAAATATTTGGTGTCGCTCCCCACAAGTTCTGAGAATTGAATCTGGGGCTCTAACTTGTAGAAATTCTGCTGCCGTCCTTTCAGCAATCTCCCAGCCCCACAGTATTATTATTATTATTTTGTAAATAATATTTATTCACCACCAACAGTATGCTTGATCACAATGAATTTATACCCAGTGACCCCGTGTTTATTGACCTTAGGTAATTTAAGAGGTTAAATAGGGAAAACCACAGGCATAGTATAGGTGCAGAAGTCTCTGTAGGTCCACAGAGCCAATATATATCTATATCTATCTATCTATCTATCTATCTATCTATCTATCTATCCAATATATATAGATAGATATGTATATAGTGTCATTTTATTTTCAGTTTTGTAATGAGAGAGAAAGGGAGAGAGGAGGAGGAGGAAGGAGAGAGGGAGAGGGAGAGAGAAATGGAGAGCATAAGTGAGTAGGAAATGACTTGAATTTATAGTCAGTTGGTAGATTGTCAACAGGAATTTCAGATTCAAGAAAGCCCAACTGATGGCCTGTTTCTATAGTTTGAGGTCAGGAGTCAAACTTAAGCTGATGCCCTTCTTAATACCGTATGCTAATAAGTTATTATAACTTATTGAGCATCCATTATGTACTGAGTACTGAATGAGATGCTTTACTCTGGCTATTTATAGCCTAATAATAATAATTCTCAAAATACATGGAGAGAACTTGTGTTTTGCTTAGTACATTCAGCAAAATCCCTCAGTGTGTTTTCATAAGTTAATGTGACCCATAAAATTGAAATGTGATAAAAGATAGTCCAAAATGATAAATCTGCCTTAAGTCCGAATATAGACAACATGCAATATTAGCAAACAGAATATGGCAGTGTATCAAATGGATAATACACTCTCACCAAATAGAGTGCTTCTAAAAATGCAGGAATGGTTCAATAATAGGCAACATTAAGAAATCAACATAATTCACCATATCAGCAAACTGAAGGAGAGTCACATATTTGTTGATACTGAAAGGGTGACCCATAAAATTCTCCCATAATAAAATTTAAAAACAAGGATTAGAGAAACAACTCAAATTTGATAGAGTAAAAATGAGACTCATATTTCATTCAAAGCAGAAAAACATGAAATCCATCTTCATTAAAACAGGAATAGCCTCTTTTAAAATATTGTCTCTGTGGTTCTTCTAAATGAATTAAACTGAGAAGACAAAAAATAGTTTGAGCAAATGTGAGTTGAAGAGATGACTTGACCAGTTTTTGCCTGTGATGATACAGAGCATTCCCATCACTGTGATTTTCTGTGCTTTCACTTACCAGTCAACCACAGGGCAAGACTATAAGATATTTTAAGATAAAGATCACATTCACCTTTCATTACAATATGTTATGGTGATTGTTCTATTTTTTAAAAAATGTTTCATTTAGAACTTTATTTATTTATTGAATCACTGTGAGAAATAGTTGCAAAGTTGTTCATGATTA